ATTATACTCTGAATTGACACTTTGATGTAAGCTCTTCGCCGATTAATAAGCAAGCTGCCTTAGGCGTAAGCTCTTGATGACTAACAAGGGAAGCATGAGAAGTGTTCAGTTTGGAAAGACTGCGATTATAAGACCTTATGTTTAGTACAAGAAAGGCGTTCGTGGTATAGACGATGTATAACACCGAGAGTTTAATATACTCGCTTGAAGGTTGATACTCGTTTCGATCCAATAAAGTTATTGTAAAATTATTATCGTTGCGAAGCTATTGTTATTTTGTTTAAGTTAAAATATTATTTCTATATATTAATATGCATAGATTGGTGGCTGGTTATGGTTTTAAAGATTGAATAAATACTGAAGGTGAAAAGTAAACTCTAGTGTGCTGCATCGACAAGACATCAACTGTAGTGATAAAATATTTGTAAATAGTACAATCGATTCAATAACCGATTATAATTTTGTTTACATATTCTGTACCTGGTGGGAATTTTTCTCAGCAAGTGTATTAACCTGAGTGCATAACATGACTCAAATTAGTTTCACATGAATTTATTCTTCTGTAACGTAGCATTACGCATTGTGTGTTAATATCGAATCTAGCTATTTGTAAGTAATGCAATTTTTACTACAGAGAATTTTGTTTACATACACCGCTCAGGCTGAGACGTAAACATTACATTGTCTTTACAACAAAGAATTGTGTATGCAATCGTATTAACTCGGTAATGAAAAGAAAGAGGGAAGGTTGGTATCAGCATAGATTAGCGTATCCAATGAACTGGTGAATAACTTTTATCTGCTACAGGTATTGAGGCTATACAAGAGGCTCTAATTGCGCTCACAAAACTAATAACATCATTATCAAAAGAGTTTCGGCAATTCCGTGATGTCTCATTGGTTAAGCAGACGGCTGAGCAGGAGTGGCATCAGGAAATAAAGAACTTAATTACCTGTAGAGACTTTACTAGTCTAATGAGGCGGTAAGTTTTTTACTTTTTTCTGCTATATTAATGATTTGGCTCATACACTACCTGGACAAAAGTCTAGCACATCAAATTTTTATTAATTGCACAAAATTGTACATAATAATTACGCTTCAAAATTTAATGTAATGTTGTTTTGGTTTTGAAAAAACGCGTGTACGGTTTTCGTGTTATTTGTAAACACACATC